GCTCCAGCCTGGATGCTGGCAAGTGCCATGTCAAGTTGCCAGCCGGTTGAACAGTTCTTCCAAGAACACTCCATCTTCACATGGAAGGGGGAAGAGGACAAAGACAAGAGTAGGACAAAAAGCTCACCCCTCTATGAAGACATTAACCCCCTCAGAAGGGAAGCCTAAACATAGCCTAATCATGGCACTGTCACATTCTTAAATTCTGCATGGTCATTTCAGGGGGCACATTCACCCCATTGCAGGCCCTCACAGAACACTAGGTCCTGAGTATGATCTTCATTAAGATCTCCTAGTCAGCTCTGCCCAGAGCTGGCCCTGCCTCTTGTCCCAGGCTCATCTGCTCTCCCAGATTAGCAACCCACCCCTGACCAGTGTGTCCTTTTAACTCCAGCACAAGCCATCCACTCTGAGCAGGCCAGCCTGTTTCCTCACTGTCAGCAACATACATCAGACTCTCCCAGCCATCCCTAGGGGGAAGCCCAAGATGAAAAGATGTTCCAGATCTTTCCTTCCCTCTTCTGGTGTCCTGAAAAGAGAAACTTGTAAATGCTTCCATCCTGTCTGTCTTTATATTATGAAGTGATACTGTGTGATATTATTGTGCAATGCAGCATACCCTTCTGTGTCCAGAAGTGAAAGCATTTTAGAACGTCACCCACGACTGGATCCAAGGCTGACAGTCTTACCCCCCAATGAGTACCATCCTGCTACAGAAACATCCCAAAGAAGGGATTAAAGAAACAGTTGAAATACTTTTTTTAAAAATCTATTTTTAAAGCAAATAAAATGTTTAAAAATCTCTATAAACGTATTGGAAGAATGTTACCACCCGTGCTGGTTAGTTTTTTGTCAACTTGACACAGACTGCAGTCACCTGGGGAAAGGGAGCCGCAATGGAAGAATTGCCTCCATCGGATTGGCCTGTGAGTGCTACCACCCCAGGTAGTGGTCCCGATGTGAAAGGCTGAGCCAGCCATAGAGAGCAAGCCAGTAAGCAGCGCCCCTTCACGATTCCTGCTACAACTGCCTCGGCTTCTGTCAGTGACGGGCTGTAACCTGTAAGCTGAAATAAACCCTTTCCTGCCCAAGCTGCTTTTTGTCCTGGTGTTTCTCATAGCAATAGAAAGCAAACTGGGATGCCATGAGGTGTACTTCAACATGCATGTGAGAAGATGCGGTCAGATTACAGCTGTAGGCCAGATACATGCCAGGCAGCAAGACACCAAAGATGGAGAATCCACAATTCCACGGAAAGACGCCCTGCTTGCAGTCACCTCAGCTCGCTTTCCCAGAAGGCCTGTGTAGCAGGCTCTCATGGCGGAAGGAACCTTCAAACTACCCAGCTGTTGCGAGCCTCTCTCTAGGTTCAAGAGCAGACCACGTTGTGGGCATTGCCTAGCAGGTCATCGCCAGCAGAAAAAGCCCTGGTGTGGCCTAGGATGTAATCCTTTCTGAGCACTCGTCTTCAATCTGGGCCTGGACAGTAAAGAACCGTAATGATATCCCCTACCCATAAGGCTCTGTAGAAGCCTTTTAACATCTGGCTGGCTGGGGCAGGGAATACCTCTGTGTTTGATCCCCTTCTACCACATAACAAGCGTACATCACACTTCACTGTCAGACTGGACCAGTTCTTACAAAAAGCACAATGTTATGTTCTAGCTGCCACTATGTTGCGTTCAAGGCACTTGACCGATGGTAAAATGTGCTAGAACCACCCATTTCCTGATTGCTTTTTTAATAACCAGATTCTGTTAATGTTTGAAATTAAGTATCAAATAACTCAGGCTGACCTCAGACTCACTATGTAGTAGAAGATTCCATTTTCTGATCTTCTTACCTCTTCCTCCTGAGTGCCGGGATTACAGGTGCCCACTACGATTCCTAGCTTAGGCTGTTCAGGGGATCAAACCCAGGGTTTCATGCATTCATGACTGTACCGATTCGAGCTACATCCCCAGTCCCACACATACTTCTTGAATGCATTCATTCACCTGACAAACACCTGCTGGGATCCCAGCGTACATCAAAGACGGCTCTTGAGCTTGTACGGGGATCTGAAGAGCCAGATGATGCTGTGTCAGCGAGAATCTCAGCAAGAGCAGGAAGACCAACAATGACTAAGCAAGCATGCATCATTCAGCACGACATCCTTAGAGAAACGGCTGATTCCAGGGGCTGCAGCTGGGAGCATCCAAAGAGAGCCTGCTGTGTCTTGTAGTGGCAGACAGGAAGTGCCGCTGCACGCACAGATACACACAGTTGCCGGGGTGCAGCAAAGGGAAAGCACAAGTCAAGTGAAAAAAGTGGAAATGATCTGAACAACAACATAATGAAGATAGCACTGGATTGTAATCCAAAGAGCAGAAAACAAAACAAACAAACAAACAAAAAACCGTGCTGATACGAAGAAGTGACTGGGAGAAGGGACAAATCTTACCTTGCAAAAATTACCATATGGCCCCAAAACTTAGGTGTGGGCTTGTGCAAGTGATCTCCTTCAGAGAAGTACTTTGCGGGTGGCAGAGAAAGTGTTCTTGCAGTAGCAAAGCCTGGCAGACACTACCTCAGCCACTTGGCCTCAGTGGGCGTCAGCAGTAAGGGACCAGTTCACTGGGTTTGTTGTGTGTCTTTGATATGATGTTCGGGAAACGATTCCACCCTCCCCCCACTCTCCGCCGCTATGGTCATTCTCCCAAGGTACTTAACCTCCATCTACTCCTGCAGACAGAATCAGACAAACCCCAATGAGGCCTTTTGTTGAACAAATAGACGAATGTTAGCTTTTATTTCAAAGAACGCACATTCTCCTCTCTCCCAGGCATGGAGAACTATGCCACTCAAAATGCAGCCTGGTCCTGTGTTTCCAGATTGGACAGTGGAAGCCTGTGCCATGGAGCAGGGCTCCCGCTCTAAGAACATGCACCAGCTGCCAGGCAAAGAGACAGAAGGCACTCAAGGGAGGAGTGTTCAAAAGAATCTCTCGTGCTCACCTCTTTCCATCTCACGATGCAGAACACGCACCTCACACAGAGGAAAGCAGTAATCAGACTAACTCAGGTCACCAGTCACGGATCTATCTCGGGATGGAATGATTGATATAGTAGTATTGTATTTGTCTCCTGGCAGTTCCCATGTTTGACACTCAGAGCCACGTGATCTGCCAGGCATCTTTGTATCCTTCCCGCGTCATGTTTAATTAACCGACTTTTCAGTTTCCTGAGGAGAAGCGCCTCAAATCAGTAAGCTCACAGAGTCTACAATAACTTCTGCTGCAACAAGCCTCCCCGGTGAGAATGAAAACTGAACAATAAAAGTAACCGATAAGAGGTAAGTGACAAGATCAAAGGCCCCTGAGCTGGCATAGATGATCCCAACATGAAAAGGGGTGATTTTCCTGTGTTGAGGGGGCTCCGCTTTGGACACCTGTGTAATAAGACAATCCTCACGGCTCTTTTGTCTGGCTTCTGTCCTGCGTGGTCCTGAAGCATCATCTGCTAGCCTACCCTGGCACTGCTGTACAAGGAGCCAGAACCAGCAGTGAGATCATGTCATTCCACAGGAAAAAGCAGACGTTGTTCTGCAGGATTGTCTCCTGCACTGGCTCAACTCTGTCAAGCGATACACAAATACTTGTGCACCCATGCCTACTGGGCGCAAAGTGCCCGTTGTTGTAGGAATAAAGAAAGGAGAAAGAAAGCAAGAACTTAAAACTTAAAATGTTATGCTCTCCAAAGATGTTTACAATCCGCTTAGGGAAGAAAAAAAAAAAAAGGCTTGTTTTGCTGTGGCCACAGGTGAGCCTTCCTGGAATGTGTGCTTTCAGGTGGCACAGAGAAGGGACTAAGAGTGTGCTGAGTCCGGGCTGTGGGAGGCAGGGAGGAACCCCAGGGCAGCCTGCAGCTGTCTCATTTTTGTCTCCGTCCCCAGGGTTCAAGGCCCTTCCGAGGACTATCCAGAGGCTCCAGATCTGTGTGATCCAGGGCCAGTTCTGAAAGCCCTGTGTTCAAGTTAGAAGGTGGGTTCCTACAAAGTGTTGGCTCAACTTCCATGACCCAAGAGAGATATCTTACGAAAAACTTTTTTTCCTTATTTCGTGAGAAATATGACAACAGGTAGGGTGTGGGGGACGTATAATTGCCAACAATTTTGTGAAATAAGCAACTTTCACATCTCTTGTCCGATGCAGGATAGGGCAGGCCCTGTAAAGCATCCAACATTTCCAGCCCAGCACCCCTTCCCCCTCCCCCACCCCGCAACCCCCTCTGTGCTTGCCCTGACCTCTACCTGCCCATCTGCGACAGCAGACAGCAGTGAGGCCTCTCAGCACCAGAGACCAGAGGGAAGTCCACTCCACTTCCCTGGAGGATTCAGGTGACTAACAAAAACAACTCTTGAGACTCCTAAGTGGTCATTAAAGAATGAAGAACCTCCAGGCTGCTCTGGAGGAGAGGGTGCCCGAAGGGTCCAGAAAGCAGGTTGACAGCAAGCCAGCTACCTCCCTAACACAGCTGACAGGAGCGACTCCCTGCCGGCACTAGGCCCCCTCACCCAACCCTCACCTCATCGCTGGAGCCCTCCAGTGCCCAGCCCCAGCCAGACCTCAGGGCAACTCTGGGACCTGGCTGAGCTTGCCCATCGCCTCGGTCCACGCTCCACCCGCACAAAAAGGGGCACGCCTTACGTCCCTAACCCAGGGGAGACCATCCTGCACCCGGTGACGACAGAGGAAGGGTGCCACTGGGTCCTCTAATCTACTACCCCCTAAGACGGGCTCGCGCTGCTCTTACAGGGAAGGGACCCCTACTCCCCAGGAAGGAGGGGGGAGGTGCGCCCCGCAGCCGGCCGGCGCGCTCCCGCGCTCCTCCACCGCAGCCCTCCCGCGCGGCGGCGTCAGGCAGGGGCGGGGTGGGGCGCGGTTAAAAGAAGCCGCAGGTGGGAACGGGGCTCCACCCGCACAGTCCCGGTTCCCGCCGCGAGCCGCCGGCGCCCGAGCCAGCCCGAGCACCCGGCTGCAGCCGAGCGCGCCGCCGCGAGCCCGGAGCCGGAGCCCACCGAGCAGGTAAGCGCCAACTTCCTCCGAGAAGCCCCGAGCAGGTGAAGGAAGGTGAAGGTCCGTCCCCTTCCTCGCCGTATTTGTGGGTCCCGGGGGTGGCGACTCTCCCAGGTGGCTACGAGCAGAGTCTGGGCGGCGCGGTGGGTGCCCGCACCTGGGCTGCCCAATCCTTATCTGCCTCCCATCGGCATCCCGCCGCTGCGCGCCCCCCGCGAGCGGCAACCTCTGCGCGGTGGCTGTCACCGCGCCGCCCCCTCCCCCGCGCGCTGCTGCAGGAACTGGGCTCGTCTGGCTTGACTTCTGCCCCTCTGACTTGCACGACAGGTTTTATAAACACATCAGGTTGGTACAGTGGCCCGAGTCCGGACTGAACCCCTTTCCCCATTTTCTTTGCTTGGCTTTGGGCTGTCACCGACCGGTTCCGCTTGGATTTGGGGAGCAGAGAATCAGAACAAGGAATGATGTTTAAATTCAATCAAACCCCCCGGCTTGGAGCAATGGAGAAGTTTTGGGCAGAAATGTCCATTCAGGCTGCGTGATTAAGGCTCGGGAACTTATGAAACGAAGATGACACTTGTGTGCACAATAGTAATTAAAAGTAATTGGTGACACATCTGATTAAAAAGTCCAGACACGAGTAGTACTTCCTGTAGGGTGAATGAGCATGGTCCCAGGTGTTTGCAATCTGGTTTTGCAGACTCGGGCTTCCTTCTCTTCCTGGGGACCAGGCCTCGAGTCACAGAGAAGGTGGCCTTCATACAGCCGTGGACACTGCAGTTGGGTAAGGGACACCAGCTGGGCTACCTTAGTCAGTTTGTGCCTGACTGAGTTTAGCGCTGCAGCCCTATTTTCCTTCAAGCTGACGGTATGCTTCCTTTGCCCCAGTTCTAGCAGAGTCTAACTAGTGTTCTAGAAGAAAACGTCCTGTGCTGGGGCAGTTTCCTTAGAACTGCAGGACGCTGCTCAGAACTGACCCTGTGGAGAGCTTTGTCAGCTCTTTGGATCCAGCGGAGTCTTTGGGGAGGGGGGGGGGCGCCGACTGAACAGTGCCAAGGAGGGGAGGAGGTGATGGAGAGATCTGCCTGGGTGCTAGCCTGTCCCATAACTGCAGTGGGAAGGTTCCCATTCACCTCAGCACAGGGTCTCAGACCCAGAAGACTGGCCAGCCAACCTGGGTCACTGGCCATTGCTAAGTAAAGGTAATTTCCCATGGTGGCTTTGTTCCCTATTTCTTTTTCTCTTTTGCACTGGAAGAGAAGGAAAGGAGCTGGGTAAGATCTTCCAGCAATAGGAAGAATTCTGACCTGTACATCCTCACCATGCAGTTCTGAGTCAGTCTAAAAATTCCAGAGACTATGAGTTTGGGTGCATTGGTTAAGTGGAACACAATTCCGGAGGAATTGTTTTCAACCCGAGTTTCTTGGCCCACGAGGCCATAATCTTACAGTGTGCTAGCTGGGGTTTTTAGAAGCTGTCGCTTGATCTGGGAGAGTGGAACTGGGCCCAAGGAGACTCTCCCTGCCTTCACAGTCATTTATTGAAATGTTTGGAGAGAGGGGGAACAGGCAGCTGCTCAGAGGCCTCTAAAGGGGATGTTGAACTTAACTATTTTTTTAAAATCAAACAGAATAAGGAACATAATTTCGTGGACTATCTATTCTTATACTTAAAGGCACAGCAAAAGTTTCACTGGTGTTGACTTGATGTTGACAAGGTATACGAATCCTCAACCTGATGGCAGTGCTAGTCACTGTTTTGAAATCACAGTTCCTGATGGTTTGCATCATTAAATTTCAAACCCGACTATCAGGTTGTCTCTTGGGTCACCTGAGATTTCTAGAGATTTATTGATTAAAGAAAGACTTTTGGGTTGTTTTTTTTTTTTTAACCCTGGTATGGGACAGGGTGGCTGTGCCGTGCTTGTCAAACTCCACCACTCTTTGCATACTTGAAAATTGGGTTTGAGGTTTGGGCTATGGTACCATCATCGTCATCATCGTCATGATTGTTGTCATGGTTACAGAAAAACAAACCTATGCTGAAGAGAGCCTTTGATGGGGCAGGGGAGCACAAAGCATAGCAAATGGACAATATCCATGTGTACTCTGTAATGGATCTGGTGATGAAGAAAAACTACCCACAAAGTTCATCCAGTGAACTTGCACAGAACTTGAAAGAATATGGTGACGATGATTTTTATTTTTCATTCAACAGGTGCTACCATCATCTCACTGCCACCCATAAACAGAGCAGTGTGGAGAGCCACCGTCGCTGCGCCGCTGACTTCTAGAGGGGTAGAGGAGAAGCCAGAAGTCCTCGCAGAGGGACCTTGCCTTGGCACTGGAGCTGGAATCTGTTGGAGTCCCTGGGAACGAGACTCAGGTTTGGGATTTTGCTTCTGCCTGGTTTCCTTTCCCTCAGCGTATAGGACTCACGTGGGCCTTGGAAGGAGTGTGCTCTCCTCTTGGGTCTATTAAATACTCATCAAGCGATTTCTTCTTCAAAGTCTACTGTAGATTGATCTAGAAAAAGAAAGCTTTCCGTGTGCTGAGGGATTTCGTTTGGGCTCTATCCTCAGTGGAGCTAAAATGGCATTATTGAGCCGGCTGTGATTAAATTCCTAAGTAGAAAGTTTCAGCTCTTGCTTGCCGAGCAAGCTGACCAAACACGAAAGGAAGGGCTTTCCCTCCCCTTCCCCATCCCCTCCTCCTGGCAGCTGCCAACATTTTCAGCTCACCTCCACCCCCTATGTTTTCTCTTCAGCGCTAATAAAATTGTCCTTGACCTTCAAATGCTGTAACTTTCAAAAGCCAGTTACTATGGCATACAGCTTCTTCAGGGCTGAGACAGGAGGATTCACTATGAGTTTGAGGTCACCCTAACAGTGCAAGGCCAATCAGAGATACACAGCAAGACCCGTCTCAGAGCAAAAGTATAGAAATGATCAAGAAATTGTATCACTGCTGAAGCAAAAGTAGACCTAGCTTGTTGGGAACGTGAAAAGGAAGAACAGACGCGCTTCCTAATAGGCTGTCTCCGCAAAGGGGGTTCATTGCTGTATTTTTAGAGTTAAATATTTAAGACTAAAATCACAGCATCAAGAATGAGGATCGAACTGAGCACTGTAATTAAATACATCCCAGAAATACATGTGATTTGCTTTCTTAAGCCTAAATGTAACCACATTCTTGTAAAGTGACATCTGTAGGGCTAAGCATATCTATTTATTTGTTCCGTATAGGCAAGCCAGGAAGCTGTCAGATTAAACCATCCTCTCTGGTGTACAAAGAAAGAGTTAATAGCTTGATTTTTCACTGAAAAGACTCCTCCCATCAGCTCTGGCCCCACTGGGTCCTGGAAGCAAACTGGGATTTTGTTCACTGCAAGTAGCAAAGGGTTCCGGTGGCTGCGGTGATTTGGGAAGTTACTGTGCATTAGTGATCTTTCCTCAGAGGAGTGCTGGGTTCTTCCTCTCCTCTCCAACTAAAGCATCTTAAAAAGATGCCTCAAGGTCACGGGTTCCTACAAGGACGACTGGGGACAGGGTGCAGGAACTTCCTGGGAGCTTCTGTCTTCAGTCAGGCCAAGGTGCCTCTGCCCACTGAAAAGGCAGGCCACGAGGGACAGCTCTTCTAATCTTCAGTTGTCCACCACCTCCATGCCTCATGGGGCTCCGTGGATAGGGAAGACTCTCCTGGAATCGCCAGACTCTCCCAGGAGCTGAAGTCATGACTAGGGAAGTGTAGGGCTTGGGAACACCCCCCAACTACCCATCACCCTAATACTGACTCCTAACACTTGTAAGGTAACCTCTACTTTCTTGGTTTTGGCCCATGAAAAATGCTGTGTAGATCCCAAGGCTTTATGAAAGACACCCTCAGGAATGGTATGGTCTAGACAGAGAAACTGTGAGAGCCATTTCACTGATGGAAAGGGCTAGCTTAGATTCACTTCATGCCCTTGGTATAGCCAGCTAGGGCCAGGGTGAGCTACAGAGAGTGCTAATGACCCTTTTTCTCACTCATTTCTTCTGTTACCCCTTTGGGGTTGACTGATCTTTTTTCCACAGGGGTCACCTAAGACCCCTGTAAATATCTGATATTTATGTTATGACTTATAACAGTAGCAAAATTACAGTTGCAAAGTAGCAACAAGGATAATTTTATGGTTGGGAGTTCACCCGTGAGGAACTGTATTAAAGGGTCGCAGAAGGTTGAGACACTCTGCTTTAAAGGTTTAGATACATCATTGAGATGGTTTTCCTTCGTAGTTTTTGTTTGGTCTGAAATATTTGTTTGAGACAAGATCTTGTAGCCCAGGTTGGCCCAGAACTTCCAACCATTCTGTCCAGCTCCCCGTGTTCTGGGAATATAGGCACATACCACTACAAACAGCTCAATTCTTAGCTCTTAACATCAAAGTGAGTGTATTGAAAATTGACTGTCTTCTATTCAGAAAACAACAGTAGGTGTCTTCCTACACCTCCACCACTATGTGGCAGGTGGATAGGAAGAAAGTCTTGTAGGCCCGGGACGGTGGGTCTAGTGCCATCATATTGTCTCTATCTGTCCTGCTTCTAGGGATGTGGGACCGATTTTCTAAGAAAGAAAACATGACCTCTTGACCTCAGCCCCTCCACATTCATCCAAGCCCTGTGGTTCCTTCCATACCTTGATCCATTTGCCTCCTATAAGTCATGTGACCAACAGCAAAGGCACGTGATAGAGAGCTTCCGGAGAAGCAGCCCGCTAACAACAGAACCATTCAAGCCCGGTGGACATGGCAGCACCGGGGTGGGGGTAGGGACAGGTCTTATTTGATAAGCCTCATGTATGGGGCAGAGGTACCTGCTTAATGAGAGGACATTTTTAAACAAGGAAGGCCTCGTGGGGGACAGCTCTGGCAGAATGTTCGTGAACTTCAAGACTTACACACTTCTGCCTTCCCACAGGCCACACGTACTGATGTGCCTCAAGGACCCAGCAGCAACAGTTAGGGAAATTTAATATAGCTAGGACCAAAACTTAATTTTCATGATTCCTATTACTTACGATGAAGTAGAATTTTTCTTTAACCACAGAGATACTTACTGTGGGCATGTAGTACATGGCAAATACAAGAGGACACTTAATAAATTCGGTTGTGGAACCCACCATGGCTTCCCCTCTGCCGGGTGGGACCCAGCTAAAGGCTTCTGGGGCTGAGAACCATAGCTTTACGGAGAGCCTATTTCAGTTTTCCAAACCCCCAGCTTTCTGTTAACGCTAAGCTTCCCAGTTTCAGATCAGCACAAGGTTTGAATCTTTCTGCTACAACTGCCAATATCACTGCCAGGTGCCCCAAGGTCCAAACCCTCAAACTGGTTTGCCCTGAGCTTCTCAGCTGCTCCCTGAGTAAAATAAAAGACCCTCATTCAAGACTCCACCGCCTGCCTCCACTGCCACAGGCATCCCAGAATGCCAGGATCTTCCCTGAACCACGAAGTGATGTGTGTCTTCAGGGCGGTCCTCCGACAGCAGCGCTCCTCACACAGAGCACTGATTCTCCTTAACTTAACTGCAGAGTTACGGTGTGTTTTTAGAGGAACGGTGAGGGTCAGCCAGGTGATGGTGTCATGAGATGTCTACCAACACTAGTTATACCTAAGATGTTGTCCGTGACGGCTTATTGGTCACCAATTAAAACTGTACTGTCCGGAGTGAGGCATTAACACGCCTGCCAACACTCAGAAGAGTCAGGAGTTCCAGGCCAGCCTGGGCTACATGAGACGCTGACTCAGAAAAACAACAGCAAAAGTTAACCATAGCCATATGATCCAAGGATTGTAACCGTCACCTTTTGCAATTTAGGCACAAGTATCTCTCTTTCCTTCTCATATTGTGGGTGTTTTACTTTTGCCTTCCCATTTTGTTTTTGTTTTATTGATTTAGGCCTCTCCATTAACCTTCGATATGAGTCGTCCCCATCTCTCTGTGGCTTCAGGTCCCCACACTTACCTGCCTATCTTAACAATGGAATCAGTTTTTGAGAAGCCTCATCCCTCCAACTTTTACAAGTCCTTGATGATAGAATTCTGTTCCTCTTTTCTCTTCTATTCAACAACAACAATAACAACAAAAAACAAAAACAAACAAACAAAACCTTCAGCTTTAACTCAGTCCAGGCTGAATTGAAATCACCGTATCAGTTTACCACCTATGCGGGGTAGGGCACAGGTATGTGTGTGTGAGCGTTTAGCTCAGGTTCAGTGTGGCTCTAAGGGTGGACCTGCTCTGGTGACAACATTCTTGTACTCACAGCATGAGATCAACTTCTGGAACTATGAACATTCTGATGTTCTGGCCCATGTCAGGGGGACAAATTCTTGGAACCAAAACCCTGAAGTTTCTAGCTACCCCCTATCATGCCCTCATTCAGCCCCAGGCTGTGCAGCTCAGCTTCCACTGTCTGACCCAGCAAGAGCAGAGATAGGCAGCCTCCCTGTAAGCCCAAACCTGGTGGCTTTCTGAGAAAGGCATAGACTCTAAAATTAGTCCAGCCGAGGACATCCCGGGGGGCACGGTGGGCAGTGTGAGGAGTGGCCAGCCCAGGCATGGTTAGAGCTGACCACAGTCAACACTGACCACAGTTAACAACACTGGGGGAAGCTCCCCAGTGTTTGTCCCAGCGTTCATCGCCCACTTAGAAGAGAAAGTCCTCCTGAGACCAAAACAGAAGGGTTTGGGTGACTCTCTTGTCCCTCCAAGTGGGTGAAAACCGGCCTGAGTGCCCTCGCTCCTCAAGGTTTTCTGTGTCGGTCAGTCACCCCCACACACACTCATACACACTTTTTTTTAAGAGCATGCCATCCAATTCTTTCTTCTTGGTGATGTGGGATAAGAAGTGGCTGTTTGTAGTCAGGAAACCACTAAAGAGAACCCCTAAAAGATGTGACAGGGCTGCTGAAGCGCAGCTCTCCACACCTCGTGGCTTCTGGAGGGGGTGCGGGAGAGGAAGGACTCAGCTCTGTTTAAGGAGCAGCCACTGAGGGTTTACCGTGCTCCAGTGAGTACACAGATAACAGAAATTGGACTTAGTTTTCCTTTCTTTCTGTTAATCTTATTTTCATTTTTTACTTTTTTGGGAGAAGGGGCGGGCACAAGGATGGAGGAGCAAATATGGAAGGACTGGGAAGCGAGTGTACCCTGAATGCAAAATGTGACACTCCAGAGAATCGGTAACAGCCGAGAGTGCCATAGGGCAGCACTTCTCAGTGTGGAGGTCATGACCCCTTTGGGGGTCAAACAAACCTCTCACGAGGCCACTTAAGACCATCGGAAAACACAATTATTTACATTGCGATTCATAATAGCATCAAAATTACAGCTACGAAGTAGCAGCAAAAATAATGTTATGGTTGAGAGTCAACATGAGGAATTGAATTAAAGGGTCACAGCGTTAGGAAGGCTGAGTAGCACTGCTTGAAGTGAGGATCTTTTTCTCTCTGGATGTCAAATCAGTCTTTCAGAAGGAAGGACAGACCTGGGCTGCAATGGGACCCGTGCTTTTTGAGTGACAGCCGACACATGGCCTGTTTCCACCAGAGAACAAGGAAGCAATTTGTGTCAAACCCTGTGATTCTCTGTTGGAGGAGGTAGTTGAAGATATTAACTTTCCTGAGAGCACATGATTGCGGCAGATGGTCCATTCAAGCTAGAAACATAAATACACACTGCACAAGGTCAACTAACAGCATCGTTTCTTCTTAGCCTGCCAAGGAAACCAGAATACGGCATTCCAATGAGTGATTTTTGCTGAATTCTGTGGCCTGGAGAAGCCGCTCAGTTACTAAAACCTGAGTCCTTGGCTAAAACCACCTGATACAATGTGTGTATTTGAAGGTGAAGAAAGAAAACTTGGGCTTGCGTTGGCTTACCTGTGTTCTTGGAAAGATGACAAACACCATCCTAATATATGACCTGTGTTCAGTTTGAATTTAGGTGACTTATACTGTGTGTGAAAGGCCCAATCATTCTACGAAAAGTAGAATGGGCATTTTAACGGCATTCCTTATCAGAAAAACATTGTGAATAGACGGCTGAGACCTGCCTAGATTCCCATGGAATTTCACCGTGGTACGGGTCAGTTAATTCAGAGGGACCTTCCAGTAATTGCCTTGCTTCCTTTCGTCCGATCAGGAGTAACCCTGCAGGATGGACTGGGGAACCCTGCACACGGTCATCGGGGGCGTCAACAAGCACTCCACCAGCATCGGGAAGGTGTGGATCACCGTCATCTTTATCTTCCGAGTCATGATCCTCGTGGTGGCCGCCCAGGAGGTGTGGGGTGACGAGCAGGAGGATTTCGTGTGCAACACCCTGCAGCCGGGGTGCAAGAACGTGTGCTATGACCACTTCTTCCCCGTCTCCCACATCCGGCTCTGGGCGCTGCAGCTGATCTTCGTGTCCACGCCGGCTCTCCTGGTGGCCATGCATGTCGCCTACTACAGACACGAAACCGCGCGAAAGTTCATCCGTGGGGAGAAGAGGAACGAGTTTAAGGACCTGGAGGACATCAAGCGGCAGAAGGTGCGCATCGAGGGGTCCCTGTGGTGGACCTACACCAGCAGCATCTTCTTCCGCATCATCTTCGAGGCCGCCTTCATGTACGTGTTCTACTTCCTCTACAACGGATACCACCTGCCCTGGGTCCTGAAATGCGGCATTGAACCCTGCCCCAACCTTGTGGACTGCTTTATTTCCAGGCCGACCGAGAAAACGGTGTTCACCGTTTTTATGATTTCCGCCTCTGTGATTTGCATGCTGCTCAACGTGGCAGAGCTGTGCTACCTGCTGCTGAAACTGTGTTTTAGGAGGTCCAAAAGAGCCCAGGCGCAGAGAAGCCACCCCAACCACGCCCTGAAAGAGAGCAAGCAGAACGAAATGAACGAGCTGATCTCAGACAGTGGTCAAAATGCCATCACAAGTTTCCCAAGTTAAGCATTTCAAGGTCAAGTGTAGGCCAGCCGAGTGCCCCCTCTGTAGACAGCACGGATCTGACAGCTCCCTCTCTAGGTCAAGGCTTTGTCTATAACGACTCATAGCAGATAGATCTTGAGTTCGATTGTTGTAGAACACCTGAATGATTCACACACAATGTAAGTCAACATTTCCATCTCTGAAAACAAAGTCCTGGTGACCTGGTGACAAATGAACCTTGAAGTCACCTTGACAAGTCCTGTGAGGGCTCTCTGACTTAGTATTTCCTGAAATTTTATATAACTTGTTTATAAAGAGCCATTTATCTAGAAAGCAATAGTTTTATCGGTAAGATATTTTTATAGGAATGAATATTTTAGTTCTGACTCTGAATTTATACAAAGTATTTTTTTAATGACTGGGCCTTCCTTACCTGGAATAAACACACAAAGCTAGCTTTACATGGGCAGCCCACGTATCTGAAGTTTGAACTCGCAAAGGGTCTGGCGTGTTACATTGTTTAACCCTGTCTGGGGACCCTTTTGTGAGCGAGTGTGTGCTCTTAAGGTGGAATGAGTGCGTTAGACGATATGTGTTGCCGCTTGCTAAACACAGATGGAATCGAAGGAAATGAGACACTTTTTAAAACGGCCTTTTCCACCAGCCGTGAGCAGTGCAAACATGAATGTCATCACTCCAATAAAGCCTGTTGCTTCAGCCTCTGCGTCTGTGTGGGTTTCTGTTGCCTCCGGGCCATCACCATCCTCACTAGAGGTGCGCTGTGTTAGGAAGTTTCTGCTGGGGAGGTATCTGTTACTCTGTGGGGGTGTAGTCACCTGGACCTCACATCAGATGGACAGAGGCCGAGGTTAGTGCCGTCAGCTTGGAGACAGGTGCTCCTAGAACTCTGGAGAAAGTCTTCTCAGGCAGCTTAACCTTGATGTGGCCCCTGTAATCCCAGCATTTAGGAGGCAAGAAGAGGTCATTGTCGGCTACCTGGTTAGCTTTTAGGCTAACCTGGGCAACCTATTAAGACCCTGTGTCAAAAGATTGTTTTTAAAGAAAACGGGGAGGAAGTCTTCTTACACAAATATCTTGTAACAAAATGCCAGAGACTAGATGACTTGGAGGTTTCTAGCATCTGCTGAGCGCCCGTAAGGGCCTTCTAGGTCATCTGAACATGGCAGAGAGCTTCCTGGTAGGAGTGGGTGTGAGAGGGAGGGATCACCTGCGAGGCAGAGAGTCAGGGGATGTGTCAGGTTGCTTATCACAACCTAGGGGTTCCCAAAAGACCAGCATGCATCTCTTCCGAGGGCAGGCACCCTGACCTAGGTGCCTTCCGGCAGGCTCCTCCCCTCGCAGGTTCTGCCACTGACATCACCCACCAGCTATTGCTGTGCAATGCTCTCAAGCCACACCCAGCTCGTGACAACCTCAGACACAACTGACCTTGAAGGACTTGTCACCTGAGCCCTTTGGCTTACAGTGACTGAGCAAAGCACCCGTACTTCACACCCAGGGATGGGGAAACATCTTTTTCCCCAGGGATTTCCAAGTTGGACACACAGGCCTCCCGGTGGGCGTGGGTGAATCAGTGCAGACTGGTCACTCTCAAGAATAATGAAATGTGAACACAGCCTCTCTGACAGGGCTTGTTAGCATGCTGCTCAGTGTTTCGCCATCCCAAATGACTAATGACGTTAACTGGAGGACACCTAGCCAGGGACAAACTAGCATGGGAGCACTTGACACAGCACTCTGATCCCCAAAAGACCTGCTTCGGGGCCTCCCTCTAGAAGAACAAAGACGACATACTCCATCCATAAGCAAGCTAGTGATAATACAGAAAGCTGCAACTAAGCACAATTTCATTGCTATGCAGAATAAGACACAATTTCTGATTCTTCTCTGGTGTCCCTTTTCTCTTTGAACGGGTATCAGGTAAAACCCAAAAGGAAGAGGAGGCCTTCAGGGACGGACATTGCAGCCATGGGCACAACCACAGTCTACAAGGAAGGACTTCCCACCCTGCTCTTGAGCCCACCTTTTTAGTACAGGACAGACTGGCCCGCCCTCTTTTCCTCCCTCTCTCCTCCCCCTCTCTCCAACTTTGAGGTATGATTGACACACAGAGATCTGCATATATTTATTGTGTCTATTTTGGTGAGCTTTGAACTCTGTGAATGCCTGGGATTCCATCACCAGTTCAAGCTAATGCATGATCCAGCTCTTCCAGGAGTTCCCTGGTGTCCCCTTACTTTTGTGCAACAAACAAACAAACAAGCCATTTAACTTGACATCCACAATCTGCACAATATCACTTTGTTGGCTGTTGGCACAATGTGCCACAAGTCTGTAATAGAGCTTAAGCATCTATGATCACTGAAACTTCATCCCAATTAAACTATTGATGGTTTCCCCAAGCTTTGCCCAGCCCTGGACACCACCCTGTATTCTCTGCTTCTGTGAGACAATTTCAGCCACCTCATAGAAGCAGAACTACACGAAATGTGTCCTTCTGTTTCACAGAGCATAATGTTTTTCAGGTTTGTCATAAGATAGGGTCGCCTTCCTTCCTTTTAAGGTTAAATAGTATTCCATTGTGTGTGTGTGTGTGTGTGTGTGTGTGTGTACAGATATATATTCTCATATGTGTCTAACCCATATTTTTCTTCATTGGTGTGTCCAAACCACAGCCTGACATCTCACAGGATGTCTATTGCTACATAGCAAATAAAAAACACAGGCTCTGGAGAGGCTGTGGAGAACCTGGAACCACTGCGCTGCTAGGGCGTGTGAGTCAGGCTGCCGTGGACACAGTCTGGGGGCCAGCAACGGTATTGGAGTATGTGCTTCTGAGTACAGCTGGAGAGCGACAGCATGTCAAAGACACATTTGCACAGTCACGTAAGAGCACGCAGCACCATCCCTCAGAGATGGAAACAGCCCTCCTTGCTCTTCACCACCTTCCTCTCACGCTCCTCTTTGCTGCTTGGCCTCTCTAGAGTTCCTTCACTGAATCTCCTCTGCACCCTGTTGCTGCAGTTCCGAGGGCGTTGAGTATCTCTCCTCTCTCCCCACCTATTTCTCAGCGCTGAACCAGGGTCCATGTTCTCCGTTGAACTGAAGCCATTGTCAGCAAAGACCTGAACGCCAGCTTCCAGGGCTTCTTCTCAGCTCGTAGCTGCTACAGCTTTTAAGGCTCTTCCTGGATTCTGGCATCTAACCCACTGGCCTCTCCTGCTAGCTTTTCTCCCTGTCTGCTTCAGGTGAACTAACCTCAAGGAACCTCCTTTCCCCACCTTACATTCTTCCATGGCAGCAGCATCTGTCTGCATCTGGTATTCACCCTACAGGGTGAAAAGTTCAGTAACTCGCCCAAGGTCACAAAGATAGCGAGCAGCAGAAGGAAGAAGAGCCACACACCAAGCCTATCTGCAAAGTCTGGAGCCTAACCCACCAGATGGCTCCCCAGGGCTCCCCAAGCAGTCCAAGGGAAGATCTGTTCAAGGTCATCCTCAGCTATATAACGAGCTCAAACCCAGCCTGGGCAACATGAGGACCTTGTCTCAAAACAGAAAAAAACAGAACACACCTGTCTAACCCAAGTGACATGTGACCTACTCGTGGCTAGCCACTTAGCTAAACAGCCCTGCCTGCTTCTCCCTTACTCTGGATAACCCTGAAGGAGACCTCAGTTGCATCATTTCGCTTGTATCTTCGTCCACATCTTTTAGAAATAGGAAGCCGAGCCATAAAATGACAACTTCCCACTCCTCTGAGCTGTTGCAATTGTTTCTCGGGGCAGTTTGACACCCCATAGCCTTCAGCTTTATTCTGTGTGTGCATATTTGTGAGTCTTCGTTGTAGATACATCTGTTGCGTTCTGACACCCCTCTCCTCCTCTGGGAATCTTTGCTCGCCATTAGCATAGCTAGGGCTGCTTCTTCTTCTTTTTTTTTTTTTTTAATTGATGTTTGCATAATCTCACCTTTCTGTCCTTTTACAGTAACCCACCTGCGTTACTGAATTCGGATTTTTCTTATAGATAGCATGTAACTGGGTCATTTTAATATTCATTCTGCCAATCTTATAATTAACAGAGTTAAACCAGTGATGCCCAATAATCTTGTTGATATTTTAAGGCTAAAGCCTGAATTTTTTTCTTTTGTTATATCAGTTAATATTTTTTTTAATCTCTGCCTTCCTGTAGTTGGCTTATGTGCTTCTTTTTATTTTGACTTATCTAGTGCCTTTGTGTGCATCTTTGGCATAAACGGTGTCACCGTTCTGCCAGTTTGAGTGACATAGAATACTATCTCTTACTGCATCCCTCTACTCCTCCCCTTTGGTGACCCCTTTCACTATTTCTTCCACATTTAGAGCCACAGCAAGAGGTACTTCAGCTATCAAACATAATTCAGAAAACACGAGGCGAGCCCCTTCCGTTTCCCCATAAATTTGCTTACATGTTGAAGATTTCTTCTGACATTTCCTTTCTGTGCGGAGAACTTCATTTGGTCCTTTATTTGCTGTTGTTAGGACAGGTCTCACTGTGTAGACCAAGCTGAACCAGATCTTGTTGTATGGCCCAGGCTGGCCTTAAACTGAGTCCTCCCACTTCAGTCTCCGAGGTGCTCGGATTACAGGGCTGCGCTCCCATTTGGGCTTTCCTTTCCTTTATAATGGCCTCCCTAGTGACAAACCTCCTCTGAGATGTGTCCCTTGCCCCTTCATCCATAAAGGCTTCCCTTTGTTTTGTTTTAGAGAGGACTTCAGTATATAGCCCAGGCTCCAGTCAAACATCATTTTTCTGCCTCCACCCCTAACTCCAAGCGTGTGCCACCATGCCTGGCACAGGAAGGCGTGTTTGCCGAGAAAACGTATTGATTTGGAAATTGCCCCACTGCCTGTGCCCCTGTCACCTCCAACAGGAAACCCTCTGCTTGCCTGCTCCCCTCCTCCCCTACCCCAGCAGGTAAGGTGTTCCCCTCCTGACTTTTTCAAGACTCTCTTCTTGGTCTTGGCTTTAAATAAAAACTACTTAAGTTGTTTAGTCAGTTTAATTGGGATGTCTTGGCACGATTTCTTTGGATTTACTCCGCTCAACTTTCACTTCCTGGCTCTGAGTTTAGGTCTCTTGCAAAATCTGCAAAGTTTTCAGCAAATATTGTTTCCTTGAATGTTTTCAGTCCTGCAGATGACACAGAAACACTGAGATGTCTCCTGTGGTGACGAAGGTTCCTGGAGCTTTCTCCCCAGTCTGCAGTCTCCCTCTCTTCAGACACAGCGCTTTCTCCTCTCCTGTTCACTGACTTCTTATTCACCTGCCTCCAGCCGCTCGCCAAGCTCCCATCCACTGTTTCTCTCCATGCTGTTTCTCCCCTTGGTTCTCCTTTGCATCATTTTATGGTGCTGTGGCTCGAATGGACGTCTCCTACTTGTGGGGCCCGAACACCAGCACTGAGCCACTTCCCCGGCTCTGGACTCACTCATCACTCCGCTGAGGGTTTTCATTCCTTCGCTTGTTTCAAACATGTTTGTAACTGTTCTCTGAAGCAGTTGCTTGAAGGGTTCTGTGTGTGTGAGAGTGTGTAGTGTGGGTGTCTACATTTGCATGCAGGCATATATGCTCTCGTGGACAGTGGCCAGAAGTTGACGTCAGTTATCTTGAACCCCTCTCCATCTTAACTCTGAGACATACTCCCTCACTG